CCTCTCCAAGCCACAGCTGGGGTAGGACTTCATTCCTCAGAGGACAACGACCCTCTTTACAGCTCACCAAGGCATTCTGGGTGAGTGGTGGCTTTGGCTTCTGACCTATTAGGCCAAGGATGACAGATGTCACAGCCCGTCCTTCCTTTTCTCCCTCATCCTTTACTCTTGCAGGGCCCCCAACATCTCCACATTCCCAAGTCTGTGTAACAGAGCTCACTTCAGCTCCTCCAAGCTCCTGTCAGCCTTGTGCTATGATCACAGACCCCTTCCTTTCCCGCTGGGCTCAACTCTTGGAAATGAGCAGGAATGAAGGACATTTCTGGACTCTTCCTACTCCTGTTCTGGTGCTCGTAGGACCTGCCATGCCACAGTGTACTGGTCCCAGCACGGCGAGCCTCAGGTCTACTGCTTTCTTTGTCCCCCACACCCCTGCACATGGCAGCAGCTTGATTTGCGTGGCTCCTTCAGCAGCCGATGCACATGTCAGCTGTTGTGTCTGAAGAATGACTGAGTAGTTTCCAAGTTCTCAGTTCACACAGACTGCACATACATCATATGTGCTCCGGTTCTTGGACACTAATGTCTCCTTATTAAGGCATAAGTCAGCCTTCTGGTTCCTATCTATTCTCTCTGCCTTTTTTAATTACTACAAAGTGGAGACAGGTTGAGGTTGTACCTACCTAGCCCTTTCCTGTTCCCTCCCATGCCGTGGCTACTTTTTTTTTTTTTTTTTTTGGAAGTTCAGTTTGTTTTTCTGAAACTTGCCAGATTGCTTTAGGAAGCTGGGAACCCTATGAATGGACCGGTGGAGGAAATCTGTGTCTTCAGAAGGAAGCAGTCCCTGCATTTTTGTGTGTGTGCCGGCTTGTGTGTGTGTGTGTGTGTTGTATTCTGAGAGAGTTTGTATTTTAGGGAAACATATACATGGGAAACCTTCACTGGTGTCAATCAAAGCCTGAGAGAACCTGCTCTCTGTTGATTGTTTTTTCATTTCTCTGTCTCCTTGTACACCGAGGCCACTGATCTTCTAACACGGTGGGTGCTGTTTGAGGTCTCGCTGGCCCTATTAGGCTCTGTTGCTTTCATTTTAATCAGAAATGACTGGAAGTGTGTGTGTGTGTGTGTGTGTGTGTGCGTGTGTGTGTTTAGTTATTTCCTGCCATTTGGCCTGAATAAAAGGGAAGAAAAGGGGGCTATTAGACAAGGCCCATAAAAATATCTACTTTTGAGATGTTTGAATATCAATTCCTGTCTAAATAATTATTGTTGAGGGGAGAAAGGATGCCAGAGTTTAGAGACTATAACAACAACTTATTATTCTCCCTTAGCAACCATGTGGAAGGTGACATGTGTCTTGTATTTCTGCAGATGAGCTGACAGCATAATGCACAGTATTGCTTTTTTGGCCCTATTTTTTTAAAATCATGTATACAGATGATAGTGCAGGAAGCTACTCTGAGGTATTATTTTCCTCAGATAGAGGAGAAAAGATACAAAGCAAGGACATTTTGGGGGTCACCCAGTTCTCCAAGGGCGGCTGGTAATGGCGTACTCGTAAGAAGACAAGGTGGCCCGGTCCCCCTGTGTTCTGGCTGTATTAAATCACACCTGTGATTTCCCAGGCACTGAGGTCTTTGATATATTTCTCCAGAAAATTGGGGGGTCTTTTGTGCTGTAGTGTTTCAAAATTAATGACAGAACAACTCTGTCTGCTCTTGGTTGTTTCCCTGTTGTAGACAGCTGTCGAGATGGGTTGCAGTCTGAACAAGCTGGAGAAACGGGACGAGAAGAGGCCTGGAAACATTTACTCAACTCTGAAGAGACCTCAGGTGGAGACCAAGGTAGATGTGACCTATGAATACTGCTTTCTAGAGTTCACCACACTGACTGCCGGTGAGTACAAGGTCCTGGGAGGGTGTCTGGGTGGGACACAGTGTAGGATGAGACCTATCGCACAGTCTAAAACAGGACAGTCTAGAGAGGTAGCCCTCTTTACCAGAGAGTGGCTGGTTAAAATAGCAACTCCTGAGTGAGGTGGCCCACAACAGTCATCTGACCATTCATGAGGATGGATACAGAGCTCCAGGCCAGCCTGGACTACATGGCAAGACATGAACTCAAAGAAATAAACCAACCAGTCAGGCAGGCAGGCAAATACAAAGTAAAGCTATGAGTCTTTGGTGCTTTGAATATGCTTGGCCCAGGGAGTGGTACTATTAGGTATGACCTTGTTGGAGAAAGTGTGTCACTGTGGGGGTAGGTGTTGAGACCCTCCTTCTAGCTTCCTGGAAGCTGGTCTTTCCTGGCTGCAGTTAGATCAAGATGTTGAGCTCTCAGCTCCTTCTCCAGCACCATGTCTGCCTGGACGCTGCCTTGCTTGTCTTAGTTTTGGGTTTTAATGCCGTGATGATAATGGACTGAACCCCTGAAACTGTGAGCCAACCCTAATTAAATGTTGTTCTTTATAAGAGTTGCTTTGGTCATGGTGTCTGCTCACAGAAATAAAACCCTAACTAAGACAGTCAGCAAACAACCCACATGGATGGGCTGAACTCAGCCTGTGGACCAGACCAGGTATTTTGTAGACTCTCTGTTAGCCAACCCTGTAGAAGAAAATGTTCTCTATGCTAATTGGTCTATCCCCTGTCTCCCCAAGGTCATTAACCATCATTTCCCTCTTGTCAGTCTGGTTAAGCTTTGCCTCATCTGACAGATGGGGACTGGCTCATCTTTCACAATCAGTGCCCAGGACTGAGGGGACAGGATGTGGCCCTGGGATGACAGGTAAAGGATGCTCAAGTTACCATGACAGAGTATGTCCTGAGATATTTAGCATCCTGAGCACCTACCATGTGCAGTTGGGCTGGTTCTGGGGACTGCAGGAGGTTATTCTGGTAGATAGGGGAGACCCAGTGACATGGCTAAAGAGCTTAGTAGGTCCCAGTTGTCAAGAATGGTAGGTAAAATTGAAGAGACCTGCTCTTCCCTTTGGGTGGCAGAAAATTAGGAGCATGTACCAACCCTTTCCCTGAGTGTGTCTTAAAATACTGCTTCCTTGAGTGCCTGGGGAATATGTTCACCTTCTGTGAATATGAAGGAGAAGGGGAAGTGTGGGAACAGGACCTGGGTGGGGGGGGTGAAAAGTGACAGAGTCACGAGACTAATCCCATGGAACTCTGACTCTGGAGACCAGCATCAGAGTGCAGACCTGAGTTGATTGCCCAGCCCGTAAGCTTATATACAGTGTTTGAATCAATCCCAAGTCCCTAAATCCTAATCCAGTCAGTTGTATCTCTTCAAATGGTCATCGCACTCCAATGAAAGCCCTGTCTAATGAGCTAACTCAGAAGAAGCAGGGGGTGGGGGTGGGGGGAAAGAGGGGTTAGCATTGTCACCTGTTAGGACTTCCTTGAAGATGAGGAAGCGGCCACTGCCCTGGGCTCAGCTCCTTTTTGCTCTCTCACAGGGCATCTCCCACAAGGAAGGGTCCTTGAACTGGTGGGGCTAACCCAAGGGCTGTTCAGAGTGGTAAATCACCCAGGCCTCTTGAGCTACAGGTTGGTCCCAGTCCATAAAATGGGCTGTCATAGGGTGGTGTATCCTTGTCACGGGCGTTATGAGGATTAGGGAGGTAGGAGTGGTGTGATGCTTTCTCCTCTTCCCTTCCTTCTCATATCTCTTCTTGCTACCATCCCCTAGTCTAAGGCCCCAGTGCTTCTGGATTTTCAAGGGACATAGACAACTAGGCTTCTTCACACAAACCCCTTCCACGTCACCAAAACCAAACCCAGTGTCTTCTCTGTCGGATTGCTTCCTTCTCGTCCTCAGCATGTGAAAACCCATCCGAGGTTAACATTTTGAGGGTTCAGATTTGCAGTGCTTGCGCCCCCCTATGCTGTATGCTTGATACCCACATGATGGCACTATGTTAGGAGGTGGCGGAAAATCGGACTGACTGGAGAGAGTGGTCAATGGGAACATGCCTCTAAAGGTCACACGTGGTCCCATTTCCCGCTAGAGACCTGGCCACCATGACACCAGCAGCCTCTGTTCTTTGTCTATGTAGAAAGATCTGCAGGAAGTGCCCTGAGAGCTGGGACACTGGAGCTTTGGATGCTTTTCTCTTTTGTGGTGTTCGCACGTTGGTTGTGTTTCTTTTATAATTAGGAGAGTGGCTGCTCAGACTTCTAATCCCAGCAGGGGAAGAAATAAGAGTTTGAGACCCGCTCTCATTATATGGTATCTGTTGTCGGCCATGAGAAGGGAGGAGAATACTACAGTGGCACCGCTTGTGAAACAACAAACTCCTTTATTATTCACACCACAGAGCAGAGCTGCTGATCGATCAGGGCCGCCACACAAGGACCTGGGAGCCTTGTTTCTTCTGGCAGCCCCGTGTAGGGCTGGAAGATGGTTTATAAGCGTAAAACCCGTACTAATCTGAGCCAAGTTACAGTTATAATTTTTACCAATCAGAACTCGGGGATTAGGGACTTTTCCCAAGTGTTCCGTCATTGTCGGCTGACATTGATTTTGCTTCAGCAATCAAATTCATTTGTTCTTACTGTTGTTAGGAGCAGGCATTATGTTTTGAGTAACTATTGTTGCTTAGAGCCGGGAGCTGGTCAGCTTAGGTAAAATGGAGTCAAAAGTCAAAATGGCAGTACTTAAGACAAGTTCCTTTTATCAGCTCCCAACACTCTGTGTGTGCATGGCACCATCCCATGAGCTGGGAGCCTGGATGGAATAAGGGGTGAGATTGAGGGTCAAGTGAGGGCCAGGCTGCTTCTCTCTGTGCTTCCTGGCTGGCCAGATGTGAGGCACTTCGTTCTTCCACACCTTTCTGCCATGGTGGAGAGGAGCTTCTGATGCAGTGGGCTGAATAAATCTCTCTGTTATAGAAGAGTCATTTAGACTGTAAGGCCCCATCGTGTTCATCAGCAGTTACGGCCTCACCTGGTTTGTTTCTCTGGGCCGCAGTGACTGGCCCCTCATAGCTTTCTGGCATTGTGCTTTCCTCAGTGGGGTGACTTTTGTTGTTGTTGTTGTTGAAATAAACTTGTGCCCATCAACAAAAGCTAGAACAGCCCAGCGTTCTTGCTTCTGCCTGATCCCATTGCTCCTCTACCCAAAGCCTGCCTGTGATTCTGATCTCTCCTTAAACGTCACCAGATTTCCTCTGATCTCATTCTCTTGTCATGCTTCTTGCTGCTGCTGCTGCTGCTGCTGCTGCTGCTGCTGCTGCTGCTGCTGCTGCTGCTGCTGCTTTGGGCTTCACTGGGTCTCCCTGGGTAGCTCAGGCTGGTCTGGAACTCTCAGATCTCATGCTTAGCATCCTGAGTGGTGGGCTCACAGGCTGGGGCTGCCATACCTGGCTTCTCTCTCCGATCTCTTTCTCTCTGACTATCTGACCCTTGGTTGTATCCCAAGGACTAGATTTCCCATGCTGTGCCTGTGCTGTGTGACAAACTCTTCCTTGGGAGATACAACACACAGAACCTCCACACACACCCACAACCCCTCTACAGACCAAAGCAATTGTTTGTATTAGCATCCAGTTTAGTGAACTAACTAATAATTTTGGGGTAGGGTGGGTTACTAACAGGAGTGTGGGTAGGAGTTACTTAACAGGAGCAGGGGGGACTCAAAAGCAACTGCATCACCGGAAAGCCCACCCCAGCATTCAGTGACTCAGGAAAACTGTAGTTCTGGAGCTTTCTGCATAGGTGGCATACATTTAGACAGATCCAAGAATGCTCCTCTGCTGGGCCGGTTGGAGTCTCTTCGCGTATTGGAGTTTGCTCCTTTTATAAAGCTCGAGAACCTTTCATCCCAAGTTTCTTCTTTCCCAGACTGTAACCTTTTGTTCCCCTCCCAGTCTCAGGAGTATCCTCTGCAGCTGCTGCTTCCTCTTCCTCCTCTTCTCCCTCCCTCCCAAAGGGAGAGTTTGAATTTGAAGGAAACTGCCCACAAGGGCCTCAACCACCCCAGGTGCTGTGTATTTTACTTATTGTTGTTAATTCTTTGCTGTCTGCCCTTCAGGCATCCTCACAGGGTAGAACTCCATGTCCTAAGTCTGAAGATTGTGTCTGTATTCTCAAGTACTCAGTGTGCAGAACAGTGTCTGGCACTCAATAGATAGGTTCAACCAATAGGTATTTTTGAATCCTGCTCTTCTACAGCTTAATGCTGCAGAGTGAGGTACCCACCCCGCCATCCATGAACTTTGAAAACATGACTTAGTGGCTTGACGTGACTTAGACACTCAGTGTGCTATAATCTATGGAGCAGTCCCCTTTATTGGACTTTTAAGTTATTTTGGGGATCTGAGATATTATAAATAATGTCGTACATAAATTCTTCATGGGCATTTTTGATGATTTCCTTGGGGATCGTCAGGCAAATGTTATAGCTCTTAGGACTCTGATAAATTGCCAACCTGCCCTCTAAATGGGGCCTGTTTGCATAAGACACATGTCTGACCAGACTCAGCGCCTTGGCAGGTTTTTCTGCACTGATGAAATGAAGGTCTAGCATATTCTGGGCTCTCCTTTGCCTAGCACTGCCTTTGTGGATCCCCACCATATCCCCTTTGAAGGACTGCATCTACAGCTCCTGCATTAAGCTCTCCCAGGACCCTCCTTTCCCAGCTCTCCTGTCTGTGTAGGCTCTACTCCTTCCTGATACCAAGTTTCTGCTGAGGTGGAGCCATTCCTTCTCCACCATCCCTTCAGAGTTACCCTCTTCTGAAGCCTAAATGTCTGTCAGTTCATCCTGAACACAATTCTACTTGTTCATACCGTGAGCCCATTCCTTTTCCTTCAGGGTAAGGACCAGATGTTGTTTTTCTTTCTTAGTCACTGAGAAGAGCTTGTCCTAAAGTGTCAAGGACC